TGCTTATTGTTTGGACTGCATTAATGAGCTCACCAGCTGGTAAACGTGATGACTGCTTTTTTGATCTTTGTCCGTGTTTTACTGACAAAAACCAGCACTGAGACCAGACTCCAGAGGCTTTCTTGAATGGGGTGGCCTAGGAACAGTGTTTTCTTCCTTAATAAGCATTTTGTGGTGACTTGTGTTCCTTCATTGTGTTCCATGCATTAATACCAACCCCGGCGTTAAACATAAACAGAACTACTGCTAACAAAGGAAAAATTGTGGCAATGAGCCACACATTCTTGGTCTGCCTGTCAGGCTGTGGGTTAAGCACTTCCCCTCATCCCAGTCAGTCACAGTGGAAGCAGACTCCCCAACACCCCTCTGCTCCAGCATCTGTCAGCTTTGCTCCTGTCCAGAAGTCACTCTTCCATTGAGGGTGGGGTGGAACTCTGCTCTCTGTAGCTGGCAGGCATAAGGCACTCCTATTATGAGCCAACTCACACACATGTGTGTTTGTTCCCAGCTCAATACACAAGGACAGTTGAAAGCCCCAGGCACCCCTCTGTCCCTTTAGGAAAAGCCTCTGGGTTGAGGAACCAGGCAAACCAGATTCCACTTCATTATCTTCCACAGCCAATGAGTTGCTGTGTCTGATAACATCTGGAAGGGAGAGATGACTGGATTACCAAATCTGGGAATGTTCCAGAAGGGAACTGCAGAGGTGAGAAGGAAACCGGACAGCACGCAGAGAAAGAGCATCACTTGAGGGGAGAGTGAAACGTTTTGAAAGCGAGGTTGACGCTGCTCCGACTGAGGAGCGTTTTTTGGTCTCTTCAGGATAATCAGGAAAACTATGGCGTGGGATTCTCATTCAGAGCTCAAAATCAGAAGCACCCCAGCACCTCCCCCTTCTCCTGTAACACCTGACTTTTATCTGGTTAATCTAAAAATAGTCCAGCCTAATTAGTAGCGACAATAAGTAAAAAATGTACAGAATCCTGTTCAAGACATGTATGCTGCTAAGAATGAGAAGGTAAATCGCATCTAACAGCGTAAACGTCAATGACAAGCACTCTACGCCCTTACAAAGTGTATTCAACTCTTGACAAAACGTTTCTTAAGAAATGTTCCACATAGGGGGCTGGAGAGATGGCTCAGTGGTTAAGAGCACTGGTTGCTCTTACAGAGGACTGAGTTCAGTTTCCAGTACCCATATGGCAGCTAACAACTGTCCCTAACTACAGTTCTCGGGGATCCAAGGCCTTCTTCTGACCTCTGCGGGCATTGCAGGATACAGGTGCACTTACATACATACAGACAAAATACTCATACACATAAAATAAAGATAATAAATAAAATATTTATAAAGAAAGATATGTCTACATGGTGTTATTTAAAACAATTGATGTCACATTTTGATCATGTGACAGCAGGTCTGAGCTCACTGATGTCATAGGAACCTTCAGACTTTTTCTACAAAGCTAAAGTTTTCAGCTTATCTCTCCATTTGCCAATGTCTCCTTAACCAGAGTCCCTACAGGAGGATGGAGAAGTCTGTCTTGGAAACAAACAAGAAGGCTCAGAGCAATGTCTAAGCTTTCCAAGTCGAGTTCATCTGACACTGATGGGTCCCTCTGTTACCACACACATCACTTGCAACCTGGATCCTGCAGGTTAACATTGGACTGCAAACCTCACTGTTCTAGAACAGGGTCATTGCTCACTTGAATTCCAGACACTTGTCATTCCTTTTCAACTCTGTCCTCCCAATAAAACTAAAGGTAGGTACCATGGGCCTGTGTGTGTGTGTGTGTGTGTACAGGTGTGTGTGTGTACAGGTGTGTGGGTGTGTGTGCAGGTGTGTGTGTGCGCAGGTGTGTGTGCGCAGGTGTATGTGTGTGCAGGTGTGTGTGTGCGCAGGTGTGTGTGCGCAGGTGTATGTGTGTGCAGGTGTGTGTGTGCGCAGGTGTGTGTGCGCAGGTGTATGTGTGTGCAGGTGTGTGTGTGCGCAGGTGTGTGTGCGCAGGTGTATGTGTGTGCAGGTGTGTGTGTGCGCAGGTGTGTGTGCGCAGGTGTATGTGTGTGCAGGTGTGTGTGTGCGCAGGTGTGTGTGCGCAGGTGTATGTGTGTGCAGGTGTGTGTGTGCGCAGGTGTGTGTGCGCAGGTGTATGTGTGTGCAGGTGTGTGTGTGCGCAGGTGTGTGTGCGCAGGTGTATGTGTGTGCAGGTGTGTGTGTGCGCAGGTGTGTGTGCGCAGGTGTATGTGTGTGCAGGTGTGTGTGTGCGCAGGTGTGTGTGCGCAGGTGTATGTGTGTGCAGGTGTGTGTGTGCGCAGGTGTGTGTGCGCAGGTGTATGTGTGTGCAGGTGTGTGTGTGCGCAGGTGTGTGTGCGCAGGTGTATGTGTGTGCAGGTGTGTGTGTGCGCAGGTGTGTGTGTGCGCAGGTGTATGTGTGTGCAGGTGTGTGTGTGTGCTCCCAATAAAACTAAAGGTAGGTACCATGGGCCTGTGTGTGTGTGTGTGTGTGTACAGGTGTGTGTGTGTACAGGTGTGTGTGTGTGTGTGTACAGGTGTGTGTGTGTACAGGTGTGTGGGTGTGTGTGCAGGTGTGTGTGTGCGCAGGTGTGTGTGTGCAGGTGTATGTGTGTTGTGTGTACAGGTGTGTGTGTGTGTGTGTACAGGTGTGTGTGTGTACAGGTGTGTGGGTGTGTGTGCAGGTGTGTGTGTGCGCAGGTGTTTGTGTGCGCAGGTGTGTGTGTGCGCAGGTGTATGTGTGTGCAGGTGTGTGTGCATTCAGAGGCCAGAGGAAAACCTTGCCTGTCATTCTTCAGGTACTGCCCACCTTGTTTTTGAGAAAGTGTCCCTCACGGTGTATGTGTGTGCAGGTGTGTGTGCATTCAGAGGCCAGAGGAAAACCTTGGCTGTCATTCTTCAGGTACTGCCCACCTTGTTTTTGAGAAAGTGTCCCTCATTGGCCTGGGATCCACCAGCTCAGCCTAGACTAGCTGGACAGTGAGCCCCAGAGGTCTGCCTGTCTTCACCTCCCCAGACTGGGATTATAGGTGTGCGCTACCACGTCCAGCTTTTAAAAAAACATGGGTCCTGGGGTCACACTCAGTTTCTCTTGTCCACACAGCCAGTACTTCATCAACTGAGCCACAGCCAAAGCCTCATGGGCAGTCTTATACTGGAGAAAACTAAGGTCAAATTCTAACAGCCAGTGACAATCAGGTCTGAGGTCTGACAGTATGTCATGGGACCCAGAGCTCACATGACTGCTTTACCCTGCATTTGTCCACCTAAAAAGAAAGCTGAGGAAGGGAGTACTTTCAAAGGACCCCATGCGTTATTTATTAACCATACAGGTACACACACCAGCTGCCTCTCTCCCGACAGCAGCCCTTGCTGTGGCCTCCACATTGGTTTCCAGCCATTTTCCATTGTCAGTCACAGGTCCCCCCCCTCCCCCAGTAAATCTCTTGCTTGTTTCTTCTGCTTGGGGTGTGCTTCTTGGAGGATCCAAGTTCATCATCACTTAGCATAAGTGCTGTTGTGTATATAAGGCTTTTCATTTTCATTGAGTTCCTTTTTTAACCAAATGCATTTAGTCTTACCTTGAGCAAAAAATAAAATCCATTTAAAAAAAAGATTTATTTTAAATTATGTGTATTTGTGTGTGTTTATGTATGAGTTTGGGTATACAGGTGCAGCACTGCAGAGGCCAGAAGAAGGCATCCGAGCTCCTGGAGCTGGACCTATGTGTGGTTATTAGCTTCCCAATCTGGGTGATGGAACTGAACTTGGGTCTTCTGCAAGAGCACTGTGTGCCCTTCCAGCTCACAAAAATCTATGCTGATCTCAAGCTTAATATGCTACCTCTGTTTTCCCTAACATACTTGGCATACATAAATATAATTATTATATATAATTGTATATATTACATATAGCTATATAGGTGATATGTGTATAGGGCTTATGAAAATTTCATATATGCACATATATGAATATGAAATCATTTAAATAGGAATATTAAAATATGGGTCATCTCTCCTGTGCCACCAATACATATACATAAATCATTTGAAAATTGTTCCCTACATTATACTGAAGGCAAAAAACTCTCTAAAATTAGCAAATATAGGTGGGGAGGAAGATTGTTAGGATGGAAGGTCAACTGGCATGTTCCAAAGTTTTCAGGAACTATTGGAGTTAGTGTTCTGGGAAGAATCTAGAAGAAAAGCTTTCTATACAGCAGGACAGAAATGAGAAAGAGGCCCAGAAACCCCGGTGGATCCTGGCGAGTGGAGAAAGCTGCAGTGACATCTGGATTTTCCATCTGCTTTGCGTGGTGTGCCAAGTGGCATGGCGGTTTAGAGGAAGCCACTGAAGGAGCTGTTTGCAGCTCCATGAATTTCCACTCCCCACTTCTGGCTCATTTTTTGGAGAAATTTCAACTAGGTCAGGGTTCTGAACATGAGTTAGTTGGGGTTTGCTCAGCACTGATGCTTAAAGACTGAATCTCAGAGCTCCTCAGCCCACCCACCATTTCTGTGCAGGGCACATACCTCTGTCACTGCAGCTGGGCTGGCAGATATCCTGGCTTTCTGAAAGGGGATGGAGAAGTGGCAGCTCACAGTGACTATATTTGGATGGGGAAAGGTGAAGACAGAGCCTTGGTCCTCTCCCCAGGGAGGGTGTGTGCAGAGGAAGCCAGGATTGTCAACCGTTGCAGAGGGCCAATAAGGCCACGGTGTGCCACAACCCTCTGTCACTAATCCTAGTCATTCAAAGAATGAACGATTCCATTTGCTCATTTTCTTCTCCCACAAAACACCTGTTTGACACATGACAGGCATTTCAATCTGCTCCGGAACACAAGGAATTATCACTTAACGGCAAGTCAAGTCATAGAGAAAAGAAGAAGAAAAATAATCTCTGTATGTTGTTGAATATATCAAAAAATTCCTTGAGTCATCTCAACCCCTACAGTCCCTCTAATCTTTAAAATTAGACTTACCTTTTTCCAAAACAGTTTCCCCAGAGGCAGTGAGGCAGGCCCCGACTTCTCTCTGCCACCTTCCTTTGTTGTGTCACTGGTTGCCGCAGGTGGCGTGTGACCTGGTGGGTTGCAGCCTTTAGGGCTCTTGGATGCTCCTTGGATCTCCTGGGGTGTGAAGTTGGCTTTGTCTGATTTGAGGTTGGCTGAAGTAGTGGGTGAGTTTTCAGTACCCTATAGAGTTTTTTTTTAAGTGAAAAAAAAAATCAAAGTCATTTTATAATTTCAGAATTTAAAGATTTCCCTTTAAAATAAGCATGGAATGGGATGGGATCATGCATGATGTTAATTCATTTATTTATAATTTTCTCTTCTTCCAAAATTTGTACCGTGACTGTAGGTTTGTGTTAAAATCTTGGGAAAAGTTACAGATATTTTCTTTTTGAGGAGGAAAAAAAGGAGACATGTTATTAATGACACTTATATAAGTATCTCAGGGGAGTTGAGGTGATGGGAGAGTTATCGTGTCATTAGAAGGTGGAGTTCTGGGTTGACGAGATGGTTCAGCAGGTAAATGTGCTTGCTGCCAAGCCTGACGACCTGAGTTTGATCCCTGGAACCCACGTAGTAGGACAGAAGAACTGATTTCAGAAAGCCGTCCTCTGACCTCTACATGTGTGTCATGGCATGTGAACCCATGTACTCACACCCACACACAGACACAAAACAAACAAATAAATAAATGGAAAGAAAGAAAGAAAAAAGAAAACACAGTTCTTACCAACACCCTTGGTCTGGAAATGGTTGTGATCATAGTCCTACTATTGAAAATACTCGAAGTGAACTTAAATGCATACATACTTGTTTACATTTATCAACATGTATGGTTTCACTAATCTAATAGGAAAACAGAGAAGGGCAGAAATACCATAATTACCATATAGGCGGAGGTTCTGGGACCTGGGGAAGGCATCTGCCATGGGAAGAATGTCCTCAGATCCTAGTTTTTCCACGTTTAGCTGCAGCCTTCATACCCCACAATTTAGAGTTCAAAGGTATTCATTTTGTTTGTGTTCCTGCCCTCCGGTTTACCACCTCCTTCCTCTGCTTGCTAACCTCTCTCCCCACAAACCGTGAAGCTAGCTCCAAGGCATCTGTCTTTTTCCCTTCCCCTTCCCCTTCCCCCTCACTATGTCTCTGTCTCTCCCTGTCTCTCTCTCTCTCTCTCTCTCTCTCTCTCTCTCTCTCTCTCTCTGCCAATGTCTCATGTGGTCTAAACTGACCTCAAAACCCTATATAGCTGACAATGACCTTAAGTTTCTGATCTTCCTGTCTTCACCTCCAAGTGCTGGGATTACAAGTGTGCACCACCGCCTGACTTTAAGACATCTGATTTTTGTTTTATTGAATTCTTGTTCATTTCTCTTCTCTGCTTCCTCAGAGTCAGCGGATAGAAACTTGTGGTCAAGATTTATCCAGACATGAGTGAATATTGACATTAAAATTTCAGCATCAGTTTCATTGACCTGACCTTGTTATCTTAAGCATCTTCATTTTATGATTTTTGCTTTGGGGACTAATGACTCAATGCCTTTAAATTCCCAGACTACAATTTCGGATTGAAAGAAAAAAAATCTGGCAGTATAAGTGGGGTGTAGAGAAATTCAAGAAGTGTCATAATATTTTTGGTACAGGAAAGAGTTTCTTCTGTTGTTTTGATTTTGAGAGCGGGTCTTGCTGTGTACCCCTGTTGTCCTTTTGTTTCAGCCTCCAGAGTGCTGGGATTACAGGCACACACCATCACACACGACAGGTGACCAGAGCCTTAACAACCATGGGTTCCATTGTTTGAATTTTTAGATAAGGAACCTGGGGCCCATAATCTGCCCAATACTAGAGAAAGAGAGACAGACAGACAGACAGACAGACAGACAGACAGACAGACACACACAGACTCCTGCTATGGCCGGATGGCTGGTTTCCATCCACCCACCCCGTCCTTCCTGGTGACAGAGCCCCAGCAAAACCTGTCTTGTCTTTTCATTCCCGGTGTGCCCCTTCTCACTTCTCAATGAAATCTCTCACTGTTGCTCTGTCAATATTGGCTCAATCAATATCCCTTGCTTGGATTCTGCAAGAGACCGCAAAAACTCTAGCCATGTCGTCAGTGGTGAGCCCCTCTAGGGTTACCAGACCTAGCAACTGAACATGACAGTGTACAGCACCTGGAGCGCAACAGAGAAGGCTCCGTGGTTTAGAGTGCCCACTGCTCTTGCACAGGACCCGAGTTCCATTCCCAGCACACACATTGGGAGGCTCACAACCACCTGTAACTCCAGCTCCAGGGCATCTGACACCCTCTTCTGGACTCCATGGGCACTGTACTCACACATGCACATACCCACACAAAGACACACTCACAGACACACACTTTAAGAAAATAATGCCCCATTAAATTTGAATTTTGTATCAGCAAATAATTATTTCTCTAGCATAAATACATGCCAAATATTGCATGGTACGTATTTAATTTTACCTTAAAATATTTTTCTTTTCTTTTTTTTTTTTAAGTAATTTAAAGTTATTACACAAAAGAATGGATTTCATGATGACATGCAATTATTTTTTATTTATCTGAAGTCTGAGTTTTGCAGGTCCCTAAATATCTAACCTGACGACCTTTCCCAAGAAATTCTAATGAATTTGGAGGCTGGATGCAAATGACCTCAGCATCTTAATACATGGTCCTCTGGCTTTTATTTTGGATGCAGGACCCAGGAGGGATTAGTAGGGTGTGAAATTGCAGCAAGAACCCAAACAATGAATGTGTGGCAAGTATTTGAACTGTTAATAGAAAACTGCAGCTGCCTCACAGACAGGGGCATTGGTAAAACCCAAGTGGTCAGAGGAGCCTTTCTGGACTTGGCAAAGCCTTTTAAAGCACTGCCTGGTCTCATGCATGTACATGTTGTCCCAGGACACTGGAGGGAGGGTGACAAGTTTGATTCTGAAGTACCTTATGTTGTTACCCCAAGAGAAAAAGATTGCGGTTCAGCAAGGGAAAGTTGATGTTCTTGCTATTTATGACTATAATCTTGGGTGTGGCTGTGGCTAGGTGGTAAAGCACTGGCCTTGCGTGCATGAAGCTCTGGGTTCATTCTCCAGGACGGCCCACAGGGATCTGTTGCATTTATTAGTTCCAGCCTTCCTCACTTTAAAAAATTATTTTATTTTTATTTGTGTGTGTGTGTGTGTGTGTCTGTGTCTCTGTGTCTCTGTGTGTGTGCCTATGGGTGTATGTGAGTGTGAGTAAAGTGCCCACAGAGGCCAGAAGAGCTGAAAACAGGTGGTTATAAATAGCCTGATGTGGGTTCAGGGAAATGGACCTTGGTCTTCTGCAAGAGCAACTAGTGCTCTTAACTGCTGAGTCATCTCTCTAGCTCCCCGCTTCTTTTTTAAACTAAGAAAACCTTTTCATAGGAAGGAAATTGAGAAGGAAGGTAAAT